AAACGATAAGACCGCCAATTGTTACACTGTAATATTAATATTTGTATGTAAATTTCTGTATATGTGGTGTTGACAATAAAGAGTTATTCTATTCTATTCTTCATACAAATTTTCATCACCCGTTTAAACCTTTAAGTCTATATTTCACAATAAAATCTATCCCATGTCCTTTTTAAAGGTCCACATTTTCCGTGTACCGAGTTTCATTAAAATTGGTTCAGTAGTTTTGGCGTGAAAGCATAACACACATGTAGATAGAGTTACTTTCGCGTTAATAACATTAGTATGGATCATACAACAGCTTGTGTGATGTGTTATTAAGTGTGAAAACTTAATAATTGGCTTCATTAAGTTTATTGAGAATTTATATATTTGTTTTTCCCTGTAAGATTACGAAAAACTGTAAAATTATATAAAATGTTATATAAAATGAAAGGGCATATTTCTCAAAGACGGGAATCATTATGTTACATAACGAAAGAATGGAAACGGTAACAAACATTAAAGAAAGTTAGATCTTACGGAATCAAGTAACAGTAGGGCTGGCACTTTTTTTGACATACGATTCTTTTCTGAAAGAATTAAGTCTGTCACTTCGGAAATATTCGTTTATTATGAAATTAAAGTAAATTTAGGTTTTTAAATCAACAAAGAAATCTAGTTTAGCTTTTAGTTTTTCTTTTATTATTTTCAATTGTTTTTCGTTTTACTTTGTCGAATGTCGAATATAATATCGCCATTTAGTGAGATTTATTTAGATTTCAATATGAGTTAGTTATTATATAATAGTTACGTTGAGTAAAATCATTCAGTAACTTATCTTTTATAAAAAAAAAGCTTTCATGAAAGTTATTATTCTTTTCAAATGTGCTCTTAGATGTAAGTACAACAAAAAAGCATTGGACGATTTTGAAATAAGCTCCTTGGGATAAAACATATAAAGATCGACCCTCAATATCTTGAGTGGATGATAATATTCAATATTATACTTTAAAGTTTAACACACAAGGTTCTAATTTTATGCACAACGATTTTAGATAAGCTTTTATAGTACACACCGTAATTCTCAGGAGTGTTTCTCTTCAGGTATTCGGCATTCATATAAAATTAATAGCAAAAATTTTCACCGAAGGACACAACCGCACTTATAAATTATAAAATCTTGAATGTAAAATTCTATACTGTTGCGATTAAATTTTATATCAATTTCTATCACATTCGCTATCGCATAATTCAGATAAAAGAAATATATTCAATGACAGGCGTATTCGTCAAAACGATTTGCCAGTACCAAGATATGGGTATGTACTCGATGATGACATTGAAAATGACAAATTTTTACTTAAACAAATTATATCTGAAATATATTCCTTCCTGACACGGACAAGAAAGAAAACAATGTACATTCGATTCTTTTATTTTTTTAATAACCGTTAATAATGTTTCAATAACCGTTACTAATTAGTTGAAGAAAATTAGCTAACAACCTACATGTATAATTTTTATCGACTGTACCTACTTGATAGTGGACCGCTTCTAACACTAAAATACTATACGATAAAATAAGGTTTTCTAGATTTATGCTCCGTATTCTATTCATGGTAAACATTTGTGTATCAACAAATATGAAACGTGTTGCTGAGTTGTTGCCAACAATGTGTGTCGCGGCGATGACCAATAAGAGTTTTTGCACTACGAGCGGAAACAATGTTGATCGATAATTGCTCAACAAATGATTTACGGGGCCCCGTTATGTCTCTACTGTGATTTTGGCGTATTTTCTTGATCTACAAATCAAAAATGTATTAATAATTTATAGTTATTGTATAGTGCAGAATAACTATTAGCATAATTAGAAGCGGCTTCGCTTTTTGTAATTGTGCCAAATTTTTAATTAAACCCATAATTGAAAAGAAATATGGCATTTTTGTGGGCCACTGCATTGAGCTACTGGTCTAAACAAATGTAATAGAATATAGTCGTGAAGTTCGTAGTGGCCTGAAAATTTTGAAATGTTATTGATAAAATATAGGAAAAAAAATATAAATAAAAAAAGCGAATAAAGCTTTAACTAAACTGTAAATATCTCCTATCTACGCTGCATAATATGAATGAACAAAATTTGAACCAGAACAATTTCTACTTCTTAGGTAATTTTTAAACGATTCATTTGGATGATTCAAAAGTGCTTGAAATAAGCTTACTCGAATAAAGGTATTTTCATTTCAAACATTTTAATAAAGACCATAAATATAACTGCATAATTACTACAAAATGCGATACAATGGTCGTCCGAGCACAGTTTGTATGGTAGTGTAGCGAGTTGTATTGGTACTAGGCCTTGTGAAATAAAACTTTTTTACGGATATTAAATGAGAACTAAAAAGAAACTTTTTGGAATATGAATTAACTTCTAAGGGGTTTAATAGAGCAAACTTTTAGTTTGCGAAAAAATTGTTAGAAGCTTTCTCAGAAGTGGAAATAGTGGATGAAATTTAAAAGTAAAATAACATGGGCATGTTTTGTTGTTTCGGGCATGTGGAGAAACATATCAGTGTAACATATTTGATTTTAAAACTGGAATATGGAAGGATGTAGAAGTCGCTGAAGGCCAAGTCCCACTTTTCACAATCATATCGGTTGCGTGCTGTTGAAAGCCGTAAACCGGCAATCATGTTTAAAAAGAGTAATGAACGCCGAAGAGGCGTTCAGGCATAAGTTAGAACCGTGTCTTGTGGTTTTCTGTCTTCTGCCTACCTCGTCAGGCGGCAAGGGATAGCGTGATATAAGAAATTTCAAAAATCCCATAAATTACATTGAATCATGCAATTCATGGGATTTATAGGATGGAATCTGTTTATTAGTAAAAAGGAATTATAAGTAGAACGTAAATTCGTCATTTAATCTGTTTTGCACATCACTATTTTAATTAAAAGCTGTTTTCCCGGGACTTTGCTCGTGTAAATTATAGTTTACATAATCCACATATATTGTAGCTGCCCGTAAATGAAAGAGTTTTAGAAATCAGTCGAGTATTTTTTGCAAACAAATCATGCGTCATTATAAAACATATTACTGTTAAGACAAAGGTGGTTATTCTGCTCTAGATTTACTTTCATTCATACTTATTGCAAGCAGTATTGTATTCATAATTTAAAGTTTAAGTATTTTGTGTACACAAATGAAGTATTATTGGGAATACGAGTACAACATAAACTACACGTGTGGTAATTAGGTATAACGTTCATAAATTTACACAGTTGTGTACTAAACGAGACTTATACAAAATAAAATAAAAATAGGCTAAGCGGACTGAAACAAGATGGGTTCATTACCACTGCATAGTATTATCATTTTGTTTATGTTCGTCGTGATGAAGGTGACGAGTAAAAATATGGGCAGGTGACATTTTGAAGGCGATTTTGGCCATTTTTAAAGGTTAGGTTGGAGTGAACCTTTTTTTTCTTTCATATGGATAGAAGAGAAACTGATCGATTAGTCAGTTTTATTTGAATAGAGAGAATGATCCATGAACCACCACGCGAGCCTAGAGCGGGTTGGTATTAATGTATTATCGATCGAAGGTATTAAACTCGTATTAACGATATCAGATGCGTCCGGGCCGACGCCTTAACGTGCCTACCGAAGTGCGGAGGAGCTCGAAATAATAAATTTCTGGTCCCTCATTCTATGCGAACTTTTACGGGCGCACTTACTACTGCGCCATCGAGAGTCGTTTTTGAGCTTGTGTAAAGTAATACTTTTTTTTTATATATGGGATATAACTAGATTTAATTTATCGCTTCGTTTTTATCAGTTTTTGATCTCTTCTTTTAAAATATTTTGTTTACACCTTTTATGTGAAAATTTAGTCACATTCTTGTCACTATTTAATTAACAGTGTCCGGTCTGGGCGAGGTATATATCAGTGATAAAACTACAGGGGTACAATTACGTGCAGTCGCAACTTGAAATTGTGACTTTTCAGAAGTCTTTCAATTTGAGCCGAGATCAGCGTCGTGATCTTCGACCAGAATAAGACTTCCTCTGTAGAAACCACCCAGTGTGGAATGAGCAAACCATAAACGTCACTTTTGGACAGAGGTCATATAATATGTGACTAGGGTTGCCAACCATACTATATTAAATATCTCTACATAAAGGATGGTAAATTACCCTTTTTTTGGACACTATACTTATAATACTATTACAAACCAGTTACACATATACGATGCGTACCTATTAATCGTAATTAAATAAGGACCAATGACAAATTTTTAAGTCCGTAATATTTATTTGCCGCTATTTCTACAAATAAAAGGTGATAACCCTACTTATACCTCTCCCTACTCTTTCCTCTAAGCCTGGGTACAAGTCTTTTCCACGAAAAAAAAACAAAGAGCTTTAGTGGGTTTTTGTCGACTGCAGATATAATCAGGGCCAAAGGACAAAAGCCACAAAATACTTGCAATACAGAGGACTAAAAATAAAAAAATATTTTCAACCTGTCGAATTCGGAACCCTACGTACGCCGTATTCTAAAAAAGTGCGATGACCCTGAGTCTCTTTCTATGTGTTTCAAATCAAAACAATCTTCATTGTTTCATGAGGATTTTTTTGTAACTAACTTCAAGCATTTTATGATGTAATTTGTTTTCAAAATATTATAGGTAATCTCTACATTATGCACTGGTAACATCGATATGTCTGTGCCGATATATATGAGTGACTTTTTCTAAGTGGGACTAAATTTCCTAGTAAAAAGTTCTTAATCATCAAAATCGTATTACTTTCTTATCGATTACCTGATGATGTCCTACTATTATAATATTTCACAGCTGTTTTAAGATTTACCCATATATATACTCATCATACACAGGGGTAAAAAGTGTGGTTAAGAGATAATATATTCTGTAAATTTGTGCATTGCTCCTGTACATATCAGACGACTCGAGGATATCCTCCTTTTATAATGAGTCGGTTAAAAAATTATCTAAAACTCACTCGTGTCTGTGTTGTAATCTCGCCGCCTCCAAATACAAATCTTCACTGTGGTCTGTTCGACCATCCGTGCCGCTCTCATCTGTCTGTCTGTGCGCATCGAACTGCACCCGCTTGTCTTCTGTCTCACCCTCTTTTAGGTTCCCCGTTGCTGATCGCGAAGCACTTGGTGCCTGAACCAATAAAACATATTCTACAGATGTAATTTAAAAAAATGTAACGTCACGTTAACAGTCGTAAGGGGAAAGAATACACGAATGTCTGTTTACACTTTTGTAAAATAGTATACAAAAGAATTGGAGATGGAGACAAGATGGCGCGTACGCGGTCGAGATCACGTCGGGCGTCTCGTCTTGTGTCCGAAGAGGTACTGAGGGGTGGGGTAAGCGCCCTTTTTTGCAGCCTTTAATTTTGATAACAATTCGGACACTTACCCAATGCGTACACTTTACCTATATGACTCTACGTTATTTTCTTTCGTCCCAGAAAGATGGCGTTTTTCTAAAGTTTAAATTTTTTTACAATAAAGCATCGTTTATCTCGAAATTAATGTTAGTAATTTAAAGAAAATGGAATGGTTTAATAACTGTATTTTTTAAAGTATAATCTAAACTTAGCTTTTTGTGATCTTTTGTTACAATGGCGTAAAAATATCTAGTACGACTTTCCCGCCACCTTTGTGAGAAAAAATAAGAAATTGTCAAACCCGTCTAACCCTAAATCATCTTGCGTATTAAATGGATGACGCTTACGTGGCATTATTAGTTTAGCGATAAAGTCTGAAAAAAAAATCCAACGACGAACATCCACGATGTTGACTTATGTAGCACTGGTGTAATCGAGGGTGAGAAGTCAAACAAATTGGAGCTTTTAAGAAAGACGTAGTTTTATATATATTGCGTAATTATGTAATAGAGTTGTTGAAACGTCACACAATTCAATATTTAAAAAAAAAGTATGTACTAATTAAAAGTAACAATTATCTCGGACCAAAGATCTTGTTATAAATAATACATTAAACGAGCCAAGCTACGAAGGAGTTGCGTTATTCAATTACAAAGTTTCCGTGATAACTTTCAAGTTCCATCTAACTTACGTGGCGAGTTAAATTCAAGTTTCTAAGAATGATCTTTATTAGATATCTTAAATATCAGATCACTTTTTACCTGACTACAGCGGTGAAGCGAAATGGAGGATTATGATTGTACCCGGTATGTAAGTGTTCATCTGTTCGCTTATAACTTTGAAACTATTCATCGTAACTGTACAAATAGGTAATATTAGAAGCGTCTTAGTTGTCTGCGTGCTATAGGGTTTGTGACGTTTCATTAAATTGGCAACAGCGCCCTCTAGAGAGCATAAAGTAAGAAACTTAAAAAATATATAATATTCTATCATACCGTGTAGAGTATCAAATAATATATATGTTGATAGTTTTTGCCTGCGATTTTAGTTAAATATATCCATAGATTTATTAAATAAAAAATAAGTTCAAAAAGCAAAACCCCACTACAGTTAAATCACACTCTAAAAAGTTTAAAACAACAGTTTGCTTTGTTATGACCAGTGGCATACGACTACGCTGTCCTTTGGTTATCAATAAGCTATAGCTATAAAATAAATTTCTTGTTTTAACCTTTTTTAGAGTGTGATTAAGCTTTAGTCGGGTTTTAGTTTTTGAACGTATTTTTATATACATATGAAACGTTAGCAACAAGATATTATTAGCTTATTGACCTTCGTAGTTGAGTGGCTCGAACGCCCGTTTAAACTGTCACCGCAATTGAGGTACCGGGTTTGATTACCATTCGATTCGATGTAGAAAACGATCTTTTATATATTTTCTAAGGTTTGACACTTTAGCTACTCATCTTGGAATCTGAAAAATGCGTGTGTCTATTATTAATATTTACATACCTTATACCTATATCTTCCTCATAATTTATTATATCAAGTGCAAATCCTAATTATAATCCGATCGGTGTTTTACGAATTTATTGCGTCAAACAGACAGACTTAGCGGTGTATATTACTTGTTCATATTAATGAAACGGCTCTTTAGTATGCTATTAATGTTGCAGCTGTTTATTTTATATACCACGAGGTCATCATACAATAATCGATGTTATATATTATTTATACATTAAGTTTAAGGCGACAATTAATTTATTTTATATATTATATATTTTATATAAACGTTACTATTGTAATATGTAGCTAAAAGGAAATAAAGTATATAATAATTTCACATTGGAAAGCAAACTTAATTGTCTTTGATTAATTACATTTGATATGGCTTTACTACTGATTATTTTATCATCACGCTTGGACAATGCCCGATCAAAATTAAGCAGATATACATCCTAAATAGTTTTATTAAATGAAATGATTAATTATTTTACTTAATAACCCTTACCTCACCATACATATAAAATAAGCACTCAGTTTGGGTATCCGCAAGATTAATTGCCGACCCAAGGTACAGTCATTAGTCCATCGTTTATAAAAAATCGTAAAATTTCTCTACATCATTTTTAATTTTTGATGCGGTTTGAGTTTAAGATCAGCTAGCTAGCTTAAAAAAAATCAAAACAGTGAGTGGCTCATCTAAAAACGTATCTGATGTCAAGAAATACCTAGAGCTCACTGCCTCACTGTGAAAAGACTCTAGCGCTTCACAAAAAATCACACGTAAAAATTAATAATAAAACCTTTTTATATATATTTTTTTTTATTGTTAGAAAATATTCTGACCATGGTCGAAATAATAGCTTTTGTTTAAGTTTACAATAAAAGAAGCAGCATACTTAAAACTGTCACGTTTAACATTTTTTTCCAGAAAGAACATTTGCACGGATGACGCGGATATTATTTTTATCGTAACTTTTTAGGACTAATACTAAATTCAAGCTACAATGCAAATTAAAATAACTCGGTAACATCACTGATGTGACGCTTTAGCAGATTATCCAATATTATTATTACATCGAATGGTAACGATTAGTTACTTAATTTTTGATTTGTGCCAGTCATTCCCATTTTTTTTTCCTATAATTTACAGTCCAACGTTTACTTTTGACGTTGTAACAACAAAAAACGTAGTTCTCTAAATCGAAATAGATTTCGCTAAGTGCCTGATGATGTTGCTACCGGCCGATTTCCATTATGGTGACCGTTTTGATTATACGAAAGCGGATAAATGCATAAGATGTTGTACAGTATGTTAGGGTTTGCAAACATTTGCGCAAGCGCAGACGACTACGATAGACAAGTAACATAGAAATAACAATATACTTGTACTCGTCCACCTTAAAACGAACGACTACTGTGTCATAAAAACTATCCAGGACATATCTGGACATTAAGAAAACCAAGTAATATCTCGGGGATACATGGTTGCCAGATGGAGAGACTAAAATATTTGGGCAAAATTTGAAAAGTTCGGGACTTTGGGACCACAGTCGGGACAAAAAAGTACTATTAAAATTTGATTAAAAATTTATTAATTAGATTTTAAAATAAAAGAAAGTATCTGCTTTTTGGCAAATTATGAGAACACATAATAATAAAATATAAACAACTAATATACTTATTATATTTCTTTATATTGCCACATGAACTTGGAATCCAATTTTATAGAATCTAACAATTTTTGTCGGGGCATATTTGTTTTTATCTCAGGTCTCTGGAGGTAATACAAAAGGTCTGGACAATCCAGACGAATCCCGACTATCTGGCAACCCTAGATACGGGACGGTTAGTAACCCTAAAATGTGCGCATTTCGAATCGGCGTTTCAAATAAATATTTCGGTAGTTCATTTACATACATTAATGATGCAATTAAAAAACTCAATCTTGTCTCATTTAATTTTGCAAATGAAAGTCCAATTTTGCTTTAAAACTTGTTTATGAAGACCTAGTAGTATATGTAATCATTTTCACGCTAGATATATAACGTGTTTGGACAAGCCTCTTCTATGGTGACAGTTTGCTAACTAAACTTGGCGGTTCCTCCTCTAGTTTATATAAGAGGTTCGTATACATCATATGCATCGTTTACTTTAGTCACAGAGTCACAGTCTCTAGTGCACCTGTTTTATTGAACATTGCACGCGACCTCCAACTTTCTTGTTTCTCTAAAAGTGTAATTATTTTAATTTATACCTACATTATTTTAGTTTGTAAATGTAATATACTGCAATGCGATGAGCGTGGCGAGGTTGTTTTCTTTGAGGCTAGTTTAAAATGGCTTTTTAATTTTAGAAGTTTTTGTTAATATGAATTAGATTTTCGAGAGAAACCTTATACTAGGTACCATGAAAGTGTTAAAAACAACTAGTTCGCCATCTTGAGTGGTCGCCCATGTTAGATTTATAATGAAATCGATTTATTTAACGAACTGTTTTATTTCATATCCATAGCAGGTACGTTATTGTTCACACAACTTAGATACCATCTTGAGCCATCCGCCATATTAGATTTATAATATTGTAACTAAGCTAACTATGCATCGTTTACTAAACCTGTATGAAAAATTTCAGTTTTATCTCAGTTGAAGATCGCTATTTATGAAATTCAGTTGCAAGATTTTATGATCTTACATACATAAATATACACATTGCAAATTAATAAATATTTTTAAAATCACGCTACAAGGGTAATGTTAGCGAGTATTAATATTGCAATCTTCAAGGTGTCTTCAATGGGTTGACAATGTGGCCATGGAATTCTACCATATCGTGGCGCCACGTAAGAATGTAAAACAAATTATACTATTTAAATGTCATCGTAAAAAACATATTATAGCATTTGCCCTTGTTAGCTTTACTAAACGTTTATATACAATGAATACATCGAATCTCTTTTCTAACTCATCGGCAAAAATCTTGATTTAAGTAAGTACTGCTCAATTTTTGTAAGGTTTTTAAATTTCAAAAAAAAAAATGCTAAAATGTTTAAAATTGGAATTTTCGCAGTTAAATTTGACAAAACTCGAGATTTCTGACTAAAAAAAAAACAAATTACTCGATATTGTATCGACACGTTCATTTTATCATTATATTAAAAGGTATGCACAAAGAGAATTATTTGAGTTATTATTAATCAATTTCATACCTCCAACTGCATAATACCTATGTATGGATGTTGCATGAAATTTGTATCTTGTTCCAGCCTTTTAGTTAGTTTTTTAATGCAGGCGGGTATTTCGTTTTTTTTTTATTATAACTTTATTTAGGTCTTTTTAGTTAAAACAAATTACCAATAGTTCAGAAAGTGAAAGAACAAAGTCAATATTTTTTAACATTCTCATTTGTATTGTTTTATTAGTATTATGGTAATGATAATCATAATGTACTTTCTTAAATCCTTGTATTGAGCCCTTTAATTTATACGCATATTGTAGTATTCCAAACAAAAAAATAAATCATTAAGTGTAATGGCGTCATACAGCCGCCATATTTGTATTTTTGTGAGATTATTTAAAAATTACATATAGGTATGCATCCATACAAGATGCATACGCGCGAAAAACATATCCTTTCCTTTGCAATAGGGCAAAAATTCATTCATGTCGCATTTACTATTTTTAAGATTTATGCAATGGAGTTGAAGCACGCAGATAGTCATGGAACTTCTGTAGTTAAACGAAGAAAACCTATCGAATTTGGGTTCATTTGATTTGTTTTGAAGAGGACATTGGTCCGTGAAAACATCCAAAGTCTGATAATGGACCTGAACGGTGGCCATAGGAACTTTGTGATTATGCAACGCAAACCTGTATGGTTTTGGGCTCGTTTGATTTGTCTATACAAGATCTGTGGGCCAAGATAATTTGAAATTTATTCTAAGAAATATTTTTTATTTCCAATAAACGCATTTGAATTCAAATATCTTATCAGGTACTGCCATATAAAGTGAATCATGAATACTGAAAGAAGGTAAGGTGTATTTATATATAAAGGAAAATTAAAAATATGAATCTGTTCATTATCTGATTACAATCTTTGAGACTACCGGTACGACTTGACGAAAACCGTAATAGGTTTTTTTTTTATCTCAAAAACATTTAGTATTAAACGTCGGAAAAGTGTCGCTGACATGATAAAATGTATTGTATTGTGTTAGAAGTAATAATGATGTAACATAAGTGACTTTGTAAGTAGAGGCGACGCGTGAATGGCCGTGAATACAAAGTAGGCACATCTAAAACACTTACCTTAAACAAATTCTGTTAGAATTCCATTTTGTTAACGTACATTTATCATCTTGGGACGGATACGCGTCACCTGCTTGCAATTCCTCGGGTTCTTTTGTCTTCGGAAATTACGCGCGTCGCGAGAGATTATTCGAGGGTACCCGTATTTATTGGATATAGAATTATGCGATGAAAACGTTAGGGCAAATCTAATTATCTATACTCGGAATACTTTACTTTGTAATAATCGGATATTAATATGGGTATAGGGACTAATGTTTTTATTGGAAAACTAGTTGTTTTCTAGTGACTTCGCCCGAGTAAATAATAGATGTTACTGACGTATGACGTAGCTTCCCGAAGGTGAAAGACGATGCATACGCGCGAAAAACATTTCCTTCCTTTGCAATCGGGCAAAAATTCATTCATGTCGTATTTATTATTTTTAAGATTTATCGATCCAGTAGTTTAGGTTATTTAAGACTTTCATGATTTATAAAATGCTGTAAAATTTTGAGTACGTACGTATCGTAGATAGGGTTGCCAGATAGTCGGGATTCGTCTGTATTTTCCAGACCTTTCGTATTACGTCCCGTAGAGACCCAAGAGAAAAACAAATATGCCCCGATAAAAATTGATAGATTCTATAAAATCGAATTCCAAGTTCATGTGGCAATATAAAGAAATATAATAAGTATATTAGCTGTTATGTTTTATTATTATGTGTTCTCATAATTTGCCAAAAAGTAGATTAAATGAATTTTAATTTTAAAATTTAATGAATAAATTTTTAATAAAATTTTTATTAGTACTTCTTGTCCCGACTGTGGTCCCAAAATCCCGAACTTTTCAAATTTTGCCCAGATATTTTAGTCTCTCCATCTGGCAACCCTAATCGTAGAGTAATATCAAGTTTGATACATTTTGAGTCTTAATGTATCAAATTTGATACAAACAAAAATAAAACGGGGTAAACGCCCTTAACATCTGTTTGCCCATTGAATACAAACAAACAAACCTTTTATCTTTATATTATTAGTACTTAAAGTTAATTACTAAATATAAGCTTGTATAATAATGTTGTTGGTATCCGACGAAACCTACTTGGTGATCTGGTATGGGCTGACTGTCGTGTCCAGTTAGACCGATGAAATCTTGTGACTCAACTGAGGATTGATCATCTGCAAGATAAGCAAAAATCACGAGTTATCACCATTTGTTCACGTGCAGCATTGATAATAAGATTGCGTAAAACTTATTCTCATATTTGGGCTTTTTAAAAGATATAGAACCGGCTTCAAACTGTTTTAAAAGTGATAAATGATCATCATCATCAGCCCTTTTACGTCCCCACTGCAGGGGCTCAGGCCTTCCTTATGGATGGTTAAGGAGGGTGGATTGGAGTGTATTAACGACTGCAATTGCAGCCGGGACCAACGGCTTAACGTGCCCTCCGAAGCACGGAGTAGCTTGAGACAATAATTTTTTGGTCACCCATCCTGTGACCGACTCTTGCGAAAGTTGCTTAATGACAACAATTGCGGGCCGCGGCGTTGTCGTTAAGCAACGGCTGATAAATGATACTTATCTCAAGCGACTTATTCAAGAAAATGCTAGGTATTGAAGGAGGTCTTCCGTATTTAGTTAGCATATTCTTGAATAAGTCGCTTTTGAGATAAGTATTATTTTATTTTGAAGTATGAAGTCGGCTCTATTTTTTAAGTTTTTTTTTTCATGTTTTTTACTGACATTCATATTTTTATACAATAGGTAACACTAAAAATTTACTAGCATTCCGCCAGCGGCTTCGCTCGCGTGCTCTCTAGGGAACGATGACACGAATATAATTACAACGACAAATTGAATAGTAAACAATCGTTACTATGGTAACGTTTTCATTCCTTCCACCAAACTTCCACTCCCATTTTCATCCCTCTATTGGTTTTTTTCGGGAATAAATTTAGCTTATATTCACCGCATAAGATATCCGTAGGTGAAAGAATTTTTAAACAAACAAACAAACAAATCTTCACTCGTTTATTATATAAATAAAAATATTCAATTTAGTGAAAGTCTTAGAAAAGAAGATTTTTTGCTCGTCATGTTTTTTTTTCCAATAATTCAATACTCATATTATAAAGAAATATTTGTTTGCTTGTTTGTTTGCATTGGATTGACATTGAAACTATTGGACCGATTTAAAAAAGTCTTTCATCAACGAGAAGCCACATAATACGCGTTGGACATAGGCTACAATATGGCCAGCCGAAGTCGTGAGTGAACAGCCAGTTTGATTAAATTGGTTCACAATTCAAGAAGAAATCGATTAACATACATACTTTCATAAAAGTATACATACTCCTTGAACATAGAAAATTCGCCTTTCGGTTTTTGAGTGAGTTCAAAATACACTGTTGTTTTTTAGCTGAGTTCTTAGGTTCTTAGTTTATTAAGTAAATAAAATAATATTGAAAATCGATCAACAAATGGCAGAAATAATGATTAACATACATAAAAATACATATATCGCCGTCGAACATACCCTCCTTTTGGATTTTGAAATCGGTTAAAAATGGACTATATGTTATGGCACAGGGACAAATGTGTAACGCCTGCCAATTCTGTTACTGTTAACATTTGGAAAGGTCACATTATCGATTTTGAATTTCATTTTATAGTAGTTTTAAGGCAAAATTATTTTCTATTATTTCAATTAAATTTGAACCACAATTTGATTGACGTCAGACAGTTGAAATAATCTTAAAACAGCGAATGATCTCAGCAGATTTTGTGTGCGCAACGACGATAGGAAGAATGATTACCAATTGGGTATTAGTAGAAGATCATGGTCGACTTCGTATTCATTGCTTATATACCTTGCAATGTTTTATGTTTAATATTCTGCTCTATTTAGCGCATATTAATTTTTACTAGATATCCAAACAAATTGCAGCTACCTTTGATAAAAACGGAAATGTGGCAAAAAAGTACTTATCCTATGGCAATTAAATTTTTTAATGCCAATAAAATCTAAAAACGACAGGCTTAGTATATTCAAGTCTGAGTTATAAGAATGGCTTACGGCGAAATGTTTTTACAGCTTAAAGGAATATTTTGAATATAAATGTAGACATATTATCTCAAAATTATGAATTATTAAAACTATTATTATTGTGTTGTATATATGATATTTTTTAAATCTTACTTTTATGTTGATGAAATTTAATTGAGATTTTATTAATATTATCATTAGTATTGTAATTCCTTAACTTTTATAATTTCTTCTGCATGCTAGTTTATGTAAAATATGTCTGGTAACTAGAAAATAAATTGTACCATCTTGTACCTTCCATATTTATGCAGAAATAAATATATTATACTTATAAGAATACGATCTATACTAGATCTGGTTGACTCACTATATTGGTGACCGTTGGTTCGCGGGGCCGCTATATCTAGGATCGGCTCCACGTCGCCACGGCACGGGAACCTCTGGGATGGACTCTCATGATCTTCGTTCCACAGCACACGTTCCATCTCCTCATCCAGCAACACTTCATCTTCGTTCACCTGAAAACAAAGCGATTTTAAATTCCAGTTAATGGTGATTCGAAATATATACGTACAGATGTCCGTAAATAGGGTACCGTAGAAAAATATAGAAGGAGTCTTTGTAGAATATTAGTATTCAAATTAGTTCCATGAAATCATTTATTATTGTAATTATTATTACAGTGGCTAATACCTTTACCTACGGGAAGCTAAATCATTCGCGGTTGTCATAGGTTATAATTTACGTGGGCGAAGTCCCGGGAATACGTCAAGAAAATAACAATTATCATTCATAATGATTACGATAACACGTAATAAGTCCAGCGTCGGTCACCTCTAATTTTTATTACAGGTAAAACAGAGAAAACGAATACAGATAACAATAAAATATATCTTTAAAGGTTCTGAGTTAGTGTATGTCACACGTTATCGCTCGGACCATTAAGGCCAAGGTGTTTTCTAACAAACTTGTGATTTATGTGTATTATATAATATAAAAATGTATGTCCGAATAAATATTTAATTTTACTCGCGTGAAAATGAGTACCGGTTAAGTTAATCTTTAGTCCAGGGTTACCCAACTGCAGTTTTGATAGACAGTAGGTAAAAACGATATAATCCACGAACCCCCTTAAAGTTCGTATTAATAACTGTTAGCGACTGTAATTAAATATTCAAAGTCCCGGCAGAGTTCACTCTTTCAGCATCACGACGATTTTAAAGCTCCCCGACCTTGACCTAAAATTTCCATTCTCAACACTTCCACAGTGGAATAAGGACACAGTAACTTATTATTTTTCTTTTTGTATTTATAAATACTCTGTACATATACTTTTAGTTAACTTTCTTTTGAATTTTCACACATTTGTAGTTTTATATAAAACCTGACTCGCGCTTACAAAGTTTCTTCGCCAATTTAACATATATACCGTTGTGGTATATGTTCGAGCATATCGTATAGCTATGGCTTCTCGTCCCGGGACTTAACACTCAGTCAGCCCAGAGCGAGAGTATTTTTCCCGTAACCTCTAAGGCGTCAGTAGCGCATATCTTGTGTCCAGGGTTATCCAACTGCAGTTTCGATAGAGTTAGCCTTGAAAACTATTAACAGTTGATTGTATTACATATAATATTATATTAAAATTAAAACTATAAATACTTATATAATAGTAAATTGCACTATGATGCAATAATTAAAAAATGTTATTTCAATCGTGAAATAACGCTTAAATTATAAATTTCCCAAATACTACTAATATTATAAATGCAAATAATGGATGTTTGTTACTTTTTCACGTAAAAACTACTGAACTGATTCTAATGAAATTTGGTATATGGATAGTTATAAGCCTGAATTATTATATAGGCTACTTTTTATTTCACTCGGCTCATACTAAACGGCTATAAATGTACTGACAAGTCAATGTCTAAAACACGCGATTAAAATTAGTTATTTATACTGTGTTACTTTATTCTTTACCACTATTCGTGTTTTGTTATTATTTGACTGACAAAGTTTCAACAAACAATGAAACGCGATGTTTGAATTAGCGTGTTATTTATATCAAGAAGGCACAGTGCCATTTTTAATCTATATGTCTTTCTCATTGACTGACATTCTGTTCACATTGCCAAAAATAAACAATCAAGATACCGACTTAAGTTCCGTTGAATTTCTGAACTTAATTTACTAGTCTAGATAAATTATTAGACTAGTCTAGATTAACTATTGAAAATAACATGACAGTTCTATTAAAGAAACTGGGCTTTACTTGAATTAATAAATGATGCACCTACATGACTTCAAAGGCTGCCTTCACGATTTCATTTAGCCCAGCGTCTGAATATTTAATTCAGTTTTCTAAAGGGTTTGATCGTTCATTAAGTCTATCTTCAGGTTTATGTAAAATACATAGTATTTATACGTTCAGCGCATAAGTGCCTTAATTATATGCTAATTATTACATTTGAACAATTCTGAATTTACAATGCTATTATGATAAATATCTTAAACCCTAGACACCCCGAGATCTTATTTTAATAAATTAACATACGCGGGTGACGTACGCTATAATTCACATTTAATTTACAAACATAAAGTATTTATGTTTATTGAAATCATTTAATTATCATGCAAATGTAGTAAAATGTAATAATTCAGATTATTTGTTGTTTTGAACTTTCATTGGCCATTATCATAATGTGCAAGTTAGTGGTGACATAGTGAACTGTGGTACGCGTATCGAACGCAGAACTCAAAAGCAGGCAGAACGATATATCTGCCAATAACACCCACCCGCATAAACTTCAGTTACTCCGTGATAATGGCGCTTGCCGACATATCGGGAACGCAAACTTCTGAAATCGGATTTAATTATATTAAAAAATAAGCAATCGAAGACCTTCCAGACCGCAAAACCGCAGAAAGGGTTTAGCCGGATACGTATGACGAGTCGGCCCCCAAATGGGAATCGATATTGAAACTTATGTTTTAATATCGACTTGATGTTCAAACACGATTTATGTACTTTTCGCGACCGACTTCCGCTTTGACCTTGAGATAGAGAGTAAAATATTCGTATGCTTGACTATTACTGAATGTGATATATCTCTAAAGCTAATTAAGATAAAGAAGTGAAACTAACGCGAGGTGTTAGGTTACATTACAGAGTATATCACATATATTTTTTTATAATTTTTAGAATAATTTTTTATCGTTGTGTTGCACCAACTTTTTTTTCACGCAATTTTTATGGGTAATAGAGCACACAAAGGAGCATAACATATATTAATTTCGTGATTGTAAGTCACAGAGAACTCAGAAAAAAAACATGATTTTTTTATTTTTTAATGTATTTTTTTATTCTAAAAATTATAAAAAAATATATGTGATATACTCTGTAATGTAACCTAACACCTCGCGTTAGTTTCACTTCTTTATCTTAATTAGCTTTAGAGATATATCACATTCAGTAATAGTCAAGCATACGGATATTTTGCTCTCTATCTCAAGGTCAAAGCGGAAGTCAGTCACGAAAAGTACATAAATCGTGTTTGAACATCAAGTCGATATTAAAACATAAGTTTCAATATTGATTCCCATTTGGGGGCCGACTCGTCATACGTATCCGGCTAAACCCTTTTTCGTTAGATAGGAATGCGTATAAGAGCTACTGAATAATATTTACACTATGATCGTTAAGTGAAAGTGGTGGCAGGGTCAAGGGCGGATGTTTGAGGATACGATGAGGGGGTTTCGCCCCCATTTTCCTATACACAAAAGTTTGACGATAGATAATATGAACGTGAAATTTACCGGCGACGACGGGCTAACTTCATAAGGAGACGAGACGATGCTGATCGACCGGGGAATCCCCACTGTTCACATTCAATATATTCTATTGATGGGAATATTGACAATGATTATTCTGTTATTACTTATTGTAATGTACGTCTATTTTTGTTAAGAAGTTGGCTAGATAAATGAGAGATAGATTTATTGGCAACACATTTACCATTTCAGTTACTTTTTTCTGTAATAAAATAACTTTGGATTACTCACTGTTTGTTATGTGGTTAGACTGAGAAATCAGACATCATATATACATAGTGTAAAACAAAGTTGCTACCGGCTGTCTGTATGTAGATCTTTTAAAATTCACAATTAATTTTATAGTGGTTTTCATCAATATACAGAGCGATTCAAGAGAATAATCATAAATATAAATTATAAATAAAGCCAAGCACTTCTATTATTTTCGTCTCTCACAGATTTATATATATATAGCTAAGTACAAATAATTATTGGTTTAATAAGTGTCACGTTTATCTTGTGTCATATATATTTAAAAGACAAAATAAAAAGACAAAGAAAAACGCAGCAAATATAATTAACTTTGTTTTTTTATTAAAAAAAATATATATATAAAAGAAGGTAGAACTCGGGTTGGGTCCTAAAGCCAGGTCACAGCTTAAACGACAGTCCACTCTGTCCCATAAATACCACTCTCCTTGGTCTATTCTTTTAAGCGTCCAGCTTCTTTTCGTTGCGTAGTACAAAGCGAGGTTATTAGTTGCCGTAGTAGATACTAGATCAGCTCGAGTAGTAGTGGATGATCTTAATCGAAGCGAAGCTCGAAGCACGAATAATTAGCGGTAGTAGGTAGGAATAACACAAGCAGTAGTGGTCAGCTGGCTTGGCTTGGCTTGAACTCCTACGAAGCTCCCAGTATGGGAATATAAAACACTTGAACTTAAACTTTATAAGTACACAGCTTTCGGTAATACTGTAATAATACTAAGAGTACTCTGGACAGGAAACAAATACAGTTCGATAATTATTTTACAGCAATAACTAATAAGAAAATCGAAAACGTTAAATACGTTGCGTTCAAAATTCAACTTTTAGTTAGTGAGACGGTCAGTCGTCTTGTGACCGCTCAGTTTGCTATCAGCGGCGAGCCAGAACCGGCTTGCATTTATTACCTACAGTATTAGCGATGCGTCGAGTCACAAACAAGCGCAGTAAAACCATTGCGAAAGAACGTAGAAATTGAAGGTTCCGTCTAACATATAACGAATATATCTTTTCTATGATTATACAAAACTTTCTTATTTTTTTTTAATATTGAATAATTATAATTTATTTTATTATTAAAAAATATTTAATAATTATATATATATTTTTTTTAATTATCTCGTGTTGAAAATTGATAATGTAATAATGTAGTGTATTATACACTACGTTACATAAGGTTTTGTGATTATAATGTTAACTTGATCGATGGCATTGCATGAATAAATGTTTTATGGTGCTATTTTGTGCAGATGGTTAATGTTACCAGATGGATAAATAATTTGTTTTCATCGTAAATGACAGCCAAATGTGATATTCTCGCACTGCAAATTAGTCAACATTACGGTGAATATTATGGCAAGGATTGATGTGGCAATTCCGCGTTGGAATGCCTTCAGTTTGGTTTAATGGTCCAGTTTGGTGGATCTAGCGCCATCTTGTA